GAAATCTCAGCGTGCTGTGTTGGTAAAGGAGGGCAGGTAGGAGGGAATCAGAGGCTAAAAGGACTTACTTTTCCTGCCTGGGGGCAGAGTGGGAACAGGAATCTGAGGCCCTTCCACTGTCCCAGACCCTGAGGCCCCAGCCCTAAGAGGTGACTCATCTTCCACTCCACCTCTGGGACCAAAAAAGGACCTGAGAAAAGAAGGCTTGAAGCAGTTCTCAGACAGGTGGGCTCTGCCTCCCTGCCCCCACCAGTCCTGGGCTCCCAGCTCAGCTGTGCCCCTCGGAGCCCACCCATAGGACTCTGTCTCCTGTTGGGCCTATGATCAGAGATCTTGCCTGTAGAATCATGGATGCTCCTCAAGCACCCAACATTCACATCTCCAGGCCATTGTCTGCAAACATCCTCACAGACACAGAATCACAGCCAATCATGGTCACTGGTACTTGGAGACAGACCCAGACAGCCCTCACAAGGTTCTGGACATGAGAGTCACACACACATACTTACAAGACTGAACACTGATATTCACGCACCCAAACTTTTACACTGTCATGAAGGCACACACATACACAACTGTCACATACACAGTTCATATGCAACAGTCACACACATAACACTCACATACACTCCACTCATACACACACACCACTTACATACACACAGTATTCACATATACACGACACACATGTCCAGCGTCACAAGCATACATAGGAACTGACCCTTACGTGGGTATAGATACTACTAGTCTTTCTCTCTCTCACTCTCATACACACACAGAATTAGTCACTTGCTGACACTTTTATGCAGAGACACAAAAACACAGCCTCACCTTGTCACAGGCAGTGGCTCCTCCAGGGACCCTGCACTAATTCACATTTACATTGCCAGGCCCAAGCCCAGACACTCCTATATACAGAGACACACTAGCGTATAGATGACATTTCTGAGTGTTATGGACACACACATGTGCACATACATAGGGGTGGCCACAGGCACTGACACACACACATGGGCCTACTTGGATTTTCCCATCTCCATGTCACATAGCTCAAACAAAGCAGTAGTCTGTCCCCCACTGCAGTGGGTTCCTCTGCTCACCCCAAGCCTGTGTCTAGCGTTCTGTGGGGGCCAATGTCCAGACCTTCTAGACTTACTGTTTTTCTCATCGTTTCTTCCCATTGGGTGGTTCCTATCTTGAAGCTCTTCAAGATAACACCACCAGACACACCACAACCACCACCACTACATAGCCACCCAGCTCTGTCCAGTTCAGCCCCAGGACGTGCCTCCTCCAGTACAGCGGGTAGGGAAACCTGGACTCTCCTCGGTGATGTTTACTGCCTGCAGGGCCAAGCCTTCTCTTCCTACCCTCACTCCCACCGGGTTCCCCTAAAGGCAAAGAACAGCATGGCCTAGGTCCAGGGATAGGAAGAAGGGGCAGGAATGGCCGGCGAGACCGGACTGGTGTCTGCACCAGACTTTCCCAGCGACAGAGCCCCCATCCCAGAGTCCCTGACCACGCCACAGACTTCTTTATGTAGGAGGCCTCAGTGCAGCCCAGTGCCGAGGGAAGGAGGGAAGGATGGATCATGAAGAAGAAAGACTTCCTTTGGATGTCTATTCTGGAACCAGCTCATAGCACCCTCTAAACTCTCAGCCATGTCCTTCTCCTGCCCCCAGCCCGGTCCTTAGAGATCCTCAAACACCCAGACACAAATGCTGCCACTCCAAACAGCTGAAGGCCAATGTGGGGTGTGGCCCCCAAATTTCACTGGCTCTATTCCCCCATCTCCAAGGCTCTGAGGTAAAAGGGAGGAAAAGCGGGGGCACACAGGCGGCATCTGCACCCCAGAGCCAGGCCCCACTCTTCCTCTCGGATCCCAAATTCTCCCTCTGCACCCCCCAACCCCCAGGCCTAGGCTCTTCTTCATCCAGGAGGGGAAAATTCTTTAATTAAAGTTTTCTGGAATGCAGGGGGCTGGAGCCCTGGGAGAGGCGGGGTGTAATTTAGAGAACTGGTTTCAGAGTGTCTTTCTCCTCTGGCCCCTAGGACCTGTGAGGTGGGCGGGGGGCAGTGGGGCCTTTTAGAAAACAAGGGGACTCCCGGGATCTGGAGCGCCCAAAGGACTGTTTATTTCCTAGTTGCCCCTCCAGACCCACGTACACATATGCCCAAGTACGGCGCCCCGCTCCCCAGATCTATTCACTAAAATGTCTTTTGTATCAGCATTTCTCAGGCGGACTGTGTCCTTCCTTTCTCCCTGTCTCCTCAGTCCTCCGATTTTCCAAAAGGAACGAATTTGACATGGAGAATTGGGGTTTTGATCAAAGAACAAGCCCATCCCCTCCCAAACAACTACATTTCAAGGACCACCACCACCACCCCCATTTTGCCAGGGTGGACGAGGCAAGAAATAAATAAAATCCGAATTCAACGGCATCACAGAACAGCAAACAACATATTGACTTCGCAGGCTTAAGATGAATCTAGAGCAATGGGGAAAAATCTAGTGAAATCCCCCCAATTCCCTTGTCCCCAGGAGCCCCAAGCCTCTCTGAAACAAGAAGGCAAAGGAGGGGGGGCTATTGTGGGGCAATCTGATGGAGGCTCCCGGAGAAGATGGGGTGGCAGTCAAGAAATTAGATGATTTTGCCCATGAAGACCCCAAAATGGAGAAGAGGAGTGGCTGGGCCCTAGGGACAGCGCTGGATTTCCAGAAAGCCCGCTGCAAGCAAATGGAGGGTCTCGGGGTTCCCAAACTGGGGTGGGTGGGTGGGGGTTAGGATCTAAGAAGAAGAAACCTTCGGAGACGGGGAAAGTCGCCCAGCCTCTGCAGCGAGTGGCAGTAAAGACGGTGATTATGAAAGCCAGGAGTTGGATCCTGAAGGCGACACCAGCAGAAAATCCAGGAGGGGCGAGCGGGTGGGGGGCTGGAGGGAGGCAAGGAGAAAGAAGCCCCGGCCCTGTCGCAGCCCACCCCTAGCCGGTGCTTCTTCCCTCCCCCGGACGCAGCGGGCAGACGAGAGGCGAACCTTACCACCAAATTGGGTAGCCGGCGAGGACCCTGGTGCCACAGAGCAGGAGGCCGAGGAGCAGTCGGAGCAGGTGGGGCTCCATTAGAACCGGCGCCGAGGGGGAAGTTTGCCCACGACCATGAAGAGGGGGAGCGACGCCCCCAACAGTTGGAACAAAGTCCACTTGAGGTTGGAAATGACTTTCGGGCTTGTCAGAAGCGCACCTCCACCCGTAACCGCCCCCCTCGCGAGCCCAGCGCGGAGCAGCCGGGTTTGAGGATGTCAGCGAGCAGCCAATCAGCGCCCGCGGCCTAAGGTAAGAGATGAGTCTATAGTTCAGCCTGTCAATCACGCGCCCCTCCCGCCCGACCCAAGACTCGGCGCGGGGACCGGCAGCGCCTGGCAAACTTGGGCAAAGCCCGCGCCCTAGACTAGCTGGCAACTTGGGGGGATACGCACTCTGGACCTTCTGCTAGCCTGGGACTGCTGCGGCCCCAAGCCAACCAGGTTCAGGGAGCAGGGACTCGGAGTAGGGCGTTTTTCGAGGTGCCAGGTTGGCGTGGGCACTGATGGGTGGCTCCTTTCTCTCGGGGGATCATGACCCCTAACACTTGAGCCCGTGAGGAATCGAGAGTGGAAAAAGCACAAAGATGTTTCCAGAAGCCTCTCTCCGGCAGAGCAGCACTTAGGGGTCCCAGGGGGGTTGGAGTAGGCACCCCTTCCTGGCCTGCAGTCTCCCGAATCCTCGATCCGCAGGCCACTCGACCTGGCCGCAGGAGGTCGCTTCCCGGGTGTCCGAGAGGCGCGTGGAAGGAAGGGTCCGTGGAGGCTGGCAGGTCTGGCTGCGGGCGGCGCCAGGGGACAGAGCCGAGTGTCATTTGAGCCTTTTGTCAGACATCAGATCGGTATCGGGACCTCCCGCTGCCTTTGCATTTCCTGCAACTGACACCAGCGGCCAGTTGCATTTCCTGCTCGCGGGGCCGGGTCACTTTCTCCTCTGGCCATGTCTCCGCGGAGTCGGAAGCGCGACCCTCAGACCTATTTGGACCTTAGGGGTGAATTCTTTGGGGCGGATGAAACGTAACAGCGGGACCCGGATCAGCTGGGGTGCTCGGAGGAGCCCCGCCGCTCTCCAGTCTTCCTCTGCCGCCTCTCCTCCTCGTGGAGGCCCTGGTCCTCCATCCTGGGGTGGGGATAGAGCCCCATTTTCCTTGTGTGGACACCAAAATGCTTGCACTTTTCCCCATGGGTGGGGGGAATCCCTACAGACTCCCCATGGAGCTCCTTTCTCTCTCTAATCCCTCTCCAGAACTGAGGAAATAGGTCTCGGCCCTAAATAGTGTGCTAAGATTGAGACCAGATAGCTCCCCTACATTCCCCTCCCATGCCACCCGATGCAGCACCCGGGGTTCGGGAGCAGTCTGGGCCTGCGGCCGGCGAGGAACAGAGAATGAGTCGACCAGGGTCCCGCTGAGACCCGGAAGGCAGGCGGCCGACGAAGTGGGGGGCGCGGCTGCAGGAAGTCCCTCGCCGGGGGGCCTGACAGCCCAGGCCTTTGATCTGGGCCGCCAGTGCCCACGGCTCGAACCTGCTGCCCTGTCCGTCCCGTGAGCCCTCTCGGCACCGGGCTGTTGCGGGCGCGAGGACTGGCCCCGGGGGCACCAAGGGTCGGGAGAGCCGCCCAGGCTTGCCACAGCTTCTGCCGTGTTCCTAGCCGGGTGCTCGGCTGAAGGGGGCGGAGGGGGGGGGGGAGGGGGGAGATGAAAGAGAGAGGAGAAGGGGAGAAAAGGAGAGAAGGGGGAGGGGAGATGAGCGGCCGTGGAGCCCGAGGTGGGGAGCAGGGGGGGAAAAGGATTAGGAGCTTCTAGGCAAAGAAAAACCCCGAACCTGCCCCAGACCGGGTCGGGGCTGCTGCCGAGATCCCGCCCTTAGAGATGCCCCCGCGGCCCACCTGATTCTGGGGCGCCCCATTTTTTATTCACCTGGAAAGGGGATCACACAGTGGGTGCTGAGCCCAGGACCGAGGTTCTAGGAGTAGGGAGCCCTCCTCTCCCCAAGTGGACCGAGGCCTGGTTAGGTCCTCGCAGAGCCCAGTCGCGCCGCCGGCTCGCAGCCAGTGTTGGAGCTGAGCGGGCAGCTTGAGAGAGCTCAGATTCTGCGGAACTTGTGAGACCCAAAGCCCAAAGGCATCTTTTTTGAGGAATGGGTGGTGGTGGAGTGGGAGGTGGTGAGGGGAAGCGCTTTCCTGACCACTGAGACACTACTGTGGAGTCAGTGTGGCCCCGGAGGAAGAGTGTGGACTGACTAGACGACCTCTTGGGGTCATTTTCGTACCCCAAGATTTCACAGGTGCCAGATCTAGGAAATGCCTGCGGGTGGGTAGGAGGTTGACTGAGGTGTTTCCAACAAAGCCCAGCCAGGGGTCCCGGGCTACAGTAGGCAAAACAGGGCAGTCCTCTAGCGTCGGGTGGCCGAGGTCAGGAGCATCTGGGTAGGGAATGGAAGAGAGAGCTGGAAGAAAGAATGACCGGGAAATACAAGTGGTTTAGAAGGGTAGCTGGTCTCAAGAGCCTGACCAAGCACAGGAGGAGAGGAGTGAAGAAGGGGTGGAACCGGCCTGGCGCGCTGGAGACTGGAGGCGTCTATGGGGATTTCCCCCCATTTGAAAGCCCCCAGAGGAAGGAATTCCTGAGCCCTTTCCATTCCCGCGCCAGGTGTCCTTCCTTCAACACAGTCTTAATTTCCTTCCTCCTGCCGCCCTGCGCTGCTACAAGGAGCGCAGAAATGGTCCCTACCTGGGCGAGGAGGGCACCCCCGTGTCACACACAGAAACACCGTCTCTAGTTAGACCCCAAGCCAGGGAAAGTGGGCTGTACTTGGTGGGGTAAGGGCTAAAATCGCAGCTAGGGCGGGTGGCTTCGGTGAAGTGAACCTCATGCTGTCTGTCCTGAACATGAGTGTGGTCTCTTGGATGGGGGCCGAGAAGGCAGCGAGGAACAGGGGCAGAGAGATGGTACGTGGGAGGCACTTTGTATTATGTGTGTGAATGTCAGAGACCTCAGACTGGCGGACTGACACCCCCAACCCCCACGCCTTTAGCGGTCTCTAGGTACCTTTTGATGTGCGCTCTCCCGGTGCATTCAATGTATTGAGTGCCGCTCGGCAGGGCCCCCCTGCCCCCAGGCTCCTCGGAGACAAAGGGGACTGCGTCTTGCGCTCACTCGCCGGTCCACAGGGGGCTGCCCGTCTGTCTCTGGGATGCTGGAGGAAATCTCGGATCAGGACTCTGTGTGATTCACTTTCTGCCTGGAATATGCCCGAAATTGCCGAGGCCCAGAACGGGGCGTCCAGACCAGCCTAGGGAATCTGGAGGGAGAGGGAAAAGTCTCCGCAGGCCCGAAAACAGCCTGTGAAAAAGGCTCATAGGCCTAGGAAACCGGACTCAGCAGAGAAAGACGTGAAGGGTACTTGGGGGTGGGAAAGACGGCGTTTCACTTTCCCCTAAGGACTTAGAAGAGCCGTTGTTGTTGTTGTTGTTGTTGTTGTTGTTACGTGCCTTTGAGCACTCTAGCGACCCAATATGGGGTTTCCGAGCCTGTAAGTATTTCCGAAGTTGTAAATCTTTTCAGAAGAGAAAGCCTCATCTTTCTCCCGCGGAGAGGCTGGTGGACTTGAACCGCTGCTCTGGTTGGCAGTTCCTTTGGAGGCCGCTGGGAGGCTGGACATTAGGGAGCGCAGCCTGAAGAATGGGCGAGCATTCAGTGGTAGGCGCCGTGATTGATTGGACAAGATTTCGTAAGTGGCCCAGCTCGGTTCGCTGGCCTGGAGGCAGAATCCTGCAGAAGACCGCAGGGTGAAAGCTCAGTGACCTGCACAGGACAGGCACATAGTATGTGAGCCACAAAGGCACACTCTAATGCGCGCAGGGATCTGTGATGGGGACTATCCGCCGTATCCTCTCGCAGCCCCAGTGCGCCCCCTGGCGGCGGCGCTGATAGTCACGAAGGAAGTCAGCGGGCTGGGTAACGCGACGGCCCCTCCCTGGCCAGCTTAGAGCTGGCAGCTGTACGCGAGAGCGGCCCAGATGTTTGCAGATACTCGCGAATGTCTTTAATTTGTATCCCATTTGTTGTTGTTATTAAGCGCTGTCCAGTTGGTTCCGACTCAAAGCATTCTATAGGATTTTTGAAGAGCCGTTGACGTCGCGGTTAACAGTCCAGTACTTATCTTCCATTACATGTTATTGTTAAGTGCTATACATCGAGTCGGTTCTGACTCACAGCGACCCTGTATAGGGTTGCTGAGGAGTGTCTGGTGAGTTTGGACCAGTGCTTATCTTCCGTTGCCACATCAGGACTACAGCCCACAGATGAGGAGTAAGTATTGGGTTACTTTCTTCACATCTTTAGGGCTTGAGGAATAAACTTTTCTCTCAGGTGTCTCTTGGCCCATTTATTATCAAGGTAGAGAGAGGTTCCTACTCAGGGGCCTGGCAACCTCCTCTGGAAGAACTTATCCAGGAAGATGCTGCCTGACACTCCAACCTGAGACCTAACTCAGAGTCTTCCACTAGCTACTCCCCACCCTGAAGCCCTTATCTGGCTTTGTTTTTCTGCACAGCCTTTACCACTGACATTATGGTGCCCTAAAACATTCTTCTTGGATCAACTATCAACACTCGCGGAAGTAGCAGTCAAGAGATCAGACGACATATTGCACTGGGCAAATCTGCTGCACAGGAACTTTTTAAAGTATTGAAGAGCAGAGATGTCAGCTTGAGGACTAGGGTGCGCCTGACCCAGGCCATTGTGTTTTCAATAGCCTCATATGGATGCGAAAGCTGGACAGTGAATAAGGAGGATCGTAGAAGAATTGATGCCTTTGAGTTGTGGTGTTGGAGGAGAATACTGAGGGTGCCATGGACTGCCAAAAGAACCAATAGATCTGTTTTGGAAGAAGTGCAGCCAGAGTGCTCCTTGGAGGCCAGGATGGCTAAGCTTCGTCTCTCCTACTTTGGACATGTAGTCCGGAGGAAACAATCGTTGGAGAAGGATGTCATGCTGGGTAGGATGGAGGGTCAGAGAAAAAGAGGAAGACCTCCAATGAGATGGATCGGCCAGGTGGCATCATTGATGGACTCGGGAGTGGCAGCGGTGGTGAGGTTGGCCCAGGATCGAGCATTGTTTCGTTCTGCTGTGCATGGGGTCGCTATGAGT